GTATTGCAAGTTTAAACCTGGGGAAAACATTGTGATTCTATTGTGATATTTATAGCTGTTTATTTTTCACTTAGTTTTTAAATATATTATTAGAAGTGCCAGTACTAATATAACTTTATAACCTGGTACAGAAATTACCTGTGTTTTTTATATGACCTGTTATTATTTTATGTCTATCTGTAGAACTGAAAGAGTTGTAGTTTTTGTGTTGTGAAAAAAAGATACGTTATCAATGATGCAACACAGATTTTATGTTTTTTATTATTTGAAAAAAATGAAGAGATACAAGCTCCATCATACAACAGGCTATGTACAAAAATGTAATAAAAGAAAACATATTTTTTGCAATTTTTTTAAGAATCTCGTACAATGTTCTTTTGAACAAGCTCTGTGGTTTAACTCAGCCTATTAGTCCATTTTCATGACAGGTGATATTTATGACATGGGGCTTACGGTTATTTTGAAAGAGTTTTACATGCCAGACATGTTTAGGTTATCTCTGTAAACGAATGCCTCCATGCCTGGAGCGGTATGCAGCATGTTCAACTACCTCCACATTTCTGTGCACATTCATGTAAGAGTGTCTGGTTCCACTTGAAATGCAAACAACAACGTGTCAAATTTAAAAAAAATATGAACATTTTAAATAAYTATGTTTCCTTTTTATTTTGATGCCAGCAGCAGCTGGTTTCACAACACATCTTTTAGCGACACTTGGTAAAATTTGGGAAACAGGGTTTGGATGTTCCAGATTTAAAAGCWTTTTTTTWATTTTAATTTGTACCCAACACAAAAAAATCTGCTGTTAAAAATGTTGAGACCTCCTGACCCAGTTGTAAAACGTGCTGTCTTGTATGACCAGGAGATGTCACGTTTATTGTTCGTGCGTGTGTCTGTTAGCAAAATATCTCGTGAGCACTGGACAAAATTTAATAAAACTTYGGGAAACTAATCTAAGATGTACATCTGAAAACCAGTTAAAGTTTGGAGTCAGCCTGATTCAGGTTGGCTGCCACAAAGGAAACCAAAACCCAGTTTATTTTACARTGAGCTAAGATCTGATGTGGTAGTAGCTGAGAGTCATTCACAACACATACTTACACACATTGTWATATTATTTTCAAGGTTTGACCAAAACTGCTTCAGTGCTGTCAGTTAACATAAGAGGATGAAAATCTGTCTAAGAAGGTCTAAGTCTTGTAGGTCAAAGATTCTGTCAGGATGGAAGCACTATTTTTCTAATCCTGTAGTTTTAGGATAATTTCTAAATCCATTGCATTTTGTTATTCTTTGCATTGTTCAAAATATTGAAACTTTTTTGGCAAGAAAATTGTCCAGCAATTGTAAAAAAAAAAAAAAAACCTAAATTGCACCGATGAAGAATTGAGCTGTTATTTTTGAGTCAGTCAGTTCGACCAGCAGACTTCTGTTTCCTCCTATTACCTCTAAAATACACCCAGTAAGGTGTATTTTAAAGGCAACACCCACAGGGTGTGTTCTAGACTTCACAAATAAACAGAAAAAACACAGCACCCTTTACTCCGTCCTGCAGTAATAACATGAAAGTCTCYGCGCCCAAGAAATTGTTTGAGCTTCTGCACTGTTGATTACTGCCGTTTCTTCAAACAGCTGTGGGGAGCACATTCATCTTGTTCCTCCAGCTCAGGACAGGGGCTGCCAGCATTRGCTGGCCGCAACAGGATGTAGCGCGTGCGATGGCGAACGCCTCCTTTGGAGCAAGAACCCAAACACAGACCCCAAGATGACCAGAGAGAGACTTCACAGTCCAGAGGTGTTTCTGTGGAAAAGAGATGCTCGTCAAGTTCAAAAATTTCAGTGCTATGAAGGATTTTTAAACCCTTTAAGAAGTTTATAGCGTTCCTTTTGAACCAAAGATGAACTTGTTCACAAGTGGCACAACAATAGGATCAAATTTTTAAACTAAACTAAATGAGCGCATACACAAAAGTATTGGACCAAGAATGGACCCTTGGGGTACCTCACACTTGAGGTAGTTGAGACATTCAGTCTAACAGAGATGTTTTAATCTYTTCAATCGAATTAAAACCAGCCAACAGCAGTTCCTTTAATGTCAACACATTGCTCCACTCCAGAGATTAGTCACTTTATTCACGTAGTAAAAAATATGTATCATTTGGTGCCACTTATAGAATAAGTTTTACCTGAGAAGCGCTGAGGAACGATAAAGTTGGGCAGAATYTGATTAGACACAGCGTTTTGGCGGTCAGGGAGTCGATGCTGTTGGGTGAGTTTAATGCTGGCGATAGGTGGAAGCTCCTTTAGCCGAGGGTAGTAGAAGGAGTTGGCTGGGTGGTTTGGCATCTGAGACGTGATCTGTGCAAGTCAGAGAAGAACGTTTTGTTACAAAAAGCCAACAAATTCTCAGTAGAACGTCAAATCCACAATAGCMCTAAAACACATGCTGGAAAAGGATAGATTGTCTGTTACATAAGGGGGGTGCCGTCAGACTCGAATCATTTTAGGTCAGACACGAGGGCTGCCAGGCAATCATTTAAATGGAGACAGCTAAGAATGATGTCCCCTTCACATGCAACTTATTCTAGGAATAGGATGCAGAATTACAGCAACAACAACTAAGGGGAGATYTGAACAGATGATGCAGATCAGACCTGTGTGATGTTTTCTTGGGGGCTGGWGGGGAAGTTTGGAGAGGAGAAAGTGAATCCACTGTCTGTCCCTGCATCATAAGGCTGGAGGTCGACGGTCACTTCCTGTTTCCAGTGGTTCCCCTCACAGAGATTCAGACTATCCACACCAACAAACCAGTCAGGGCTGGGGATYATCTTCACCATCAGGGACAGCTGTTGATAGACAGTAATGCAGTGGGATAAATGATTTATAGACCGTAACTGATTAAAATTTAATCAGCCTTGTGATCATTTTATGGCACAAAATTAAGAAAAAAACAAGAAGTTATATTATTCATCAAGCAGGTTAAACAATCGCACAATGATTTGAGTGTCGCATGAAGTCTCAGGAACCACAATGACATCAGTCAGGAAAATAAATGCAACAAGTCTGACATTACACACATGCTAAGTAGATGAAGAAATTTTGTGACTTCCGAAGCAGGAACCTGCCTGTCTGTCTCTTTATGTCTGTTCTAGCATTTATTACCTTGTAAGGACCTTTTGTCCAAAAGCCCATGAGTTCAAATGCCATTTTTGGGTTAAAGGTTGGGTTTAGGACTTAAGGTGTGAATTGAGTGATGGTTATAGATTTAGTGTTAGGTACAGTATGTACTGGGGTTGTACATGTTTTTGCTACCTGGTGGGGATGATTTTTGACCATTTTCCTGGTGCACACAGTCTAGTGAGGACCCACTGTTCCTTATGGGATAAAAGCTTGGTCCCCATTGGATGATATGGATCAGAGGTTTGGTTTAGGACTAACATGTTAAGTGAATTTAGGTTAAGGGTACAAGTTCAGAGTTAGGCTGTAAAAATTAATGAGACTCAGTGCAGTGTCCCCACACAAATAACTGTACTAGACCATGTGTGTGTGTGTGTGTGTGTGTGCGCGCGCGCTCACTCTGTCTCCAGTTCAATGTTTCAGTATGTCTCCTGAATGATGTAGGCTTTCTGAGAAATGGTGAGCTCATCCAGGAAGCAGGATTTGGGGTCACTACACATGGAGGTGGCAGATGACCAGAAAACAGCGCATTTGAAAAACACTTTTTCAGACAAATATCTGAGGATTTGAGGTTCAGCTTTGATGTTTCGAGGGGTTATGAATCGGATCATTAGATCAGAGCTTTAGGTACAGGGGATACTTTTGTCAATGAGACACAAGAGGTCCTTATTTGTTGGTTGTGACCCAGGATAAAAA